TTATACTAGGTTGTACTAATTGAGTGTGGTTACAGCACTAATATTCTAAATAATACAAATATATTCTAAGTAAGAATAATCCTGTGACATGAAGCACAACACAAAATCCTTTGCATTGTAATTAACACTTTGAGGTTGAACAGTTTTAGTAATTCAGCGTGCCTTTATATTGAAAGAGTTTTTATTTAAGTGAGCTGTGGAACAGCAAGACCTTCAAAAACATAAACTGTATGCTCTTTCTTCTTTTAACGTGTTTCGCTTTTTTTGTGTTAATCACAGAGGGATTGTTAAAAATAAACAGCCTAACAAGTGGCCAATTGTTGAAACAATACTTTAGCACACAGTTTGAGATACATTCCTCATTTTATTTTGAATGATTTTTAAGCCCTACAATCCTTCTTATGTGTTTTAGATAGATTTGAATGTACAGCAGTGCACTGGAAATGCAGTTATAAACGTACAGCTGTCTGAGACTGTGTGGTTGTGTGTTCAGGGAGTGGTGTTGGTGTGTAAATGGCCAACGCTGACCGTACCAGCAACACCAGCCTCAAAGCAGCTAATGGCAGGGCTGAAGTCTGCACAAGCACTCAAGAATGGCACTCAGATCTGTTAACCACAGTGTCGAAGTGCAAATACTTTCATATAATCACTACCAGACGAGAGCTTTCAACTCCTTTTTTTGGTGTGAGGTTGTATGTCGTACCTGCAAACCACTCACGTACAGTATAAAAATGAGAGACTTCAGGAAGCTGTTTCACAGAATACAAGCCTATTCTTCAGCCAAGGCCTCCTTTTTCTTTAACTTTAAAAGTTCAGCTGTGGTTGAAACCATTTCATGGTGAAACGTTAATCAACAGAATAATACTTTAGCTCTGTAACATCTTGGATATAAATGTGGGTAATATGTACTCATTACATACTTTATCTGATGAAATATTAATGGTGAGGGATTGGCAAATTTGTAACAATCTCTGGCTAATTTAGTGTAAAAACTCAGCTTTAACTCAATGCAGGCCAGGGCATAATAGGTCAATCAGATGTACGATGAATGGATCACTTATCTTCTTCTACATTTATGGTAAGAGCAGTTATACTTGTAAAACATCATGAGTTCTCAAAGAATTATGCAGAATTCCCCCTTACCTAGGACTTCTAACTGCATAAGCCACTGTTCTCTGTTAACGCTGTGTGCACGATACTGCTGCCAAAGGGATTTTGTTATGTGCTGCTTTAGCAGATATTAAGACTGCAAAATTACTCACAACGTGTTTCTAACCAGTCATATTCAACATGCAGCTTCACTCACAGCATGACAGTGAAAGTAGGTAGTTGCACCTGTGTTGATTTAAGATGCTAAGGAGACTCAGATGACACACTTCAACACTTCTGTGTTTGATCATGAGCGTTTCATTGCACCTGCATTGCTAGCATGTGGATTGTATGAAAAATTACAGTGCTGTGTTAGTTTTCATAATGAGTTTTCAACTTCTGGGACGTCTGTTCTAAGAATGTTTTCCTTGTCGTTTAGAAACTGATAATCCTTTAGAAAATAATCAATTGTGTATTGTGTTCATCACCAGATGGTTATCTTTTGTAAATTGCTATGAGGTCTATTAATTATGTACGTCATACACATGTAAATTTCATATCCTGTAAGTACAGTAAATGTTATTTGATATATGTCTTTTTGCTTCTACTACATAGAAATATTTTCTCATTAATGGCAATGTGTGTAAACTGCTTTCTCATTTCCACAGGCCTACTGAAACCCATTCAGAGTTATTGAAACTATTGAAATTATTGAAAAAAAGCCTTTAATGGGCTTCATCTTTAGTGCAAGTTCTTTTCATCAGTGCAAGTTTCTAGTCATTTAGTACTGTACATCAACCATTTTGATGTCATGGTCTAGACCTTTGCCATTTTTATCATGGATATATTTTGTAGTTTTTGTCTTACAGAGGGTGCTTTGTGCAGTTGCTTTTTCAGCTTTAGTACCTGCAGATCTGCTTTAATTTTTTTACCTGAGTACCCTTCATTTAATGTTTTTAATTTCTATCTTCCTTAAAGATGTTTACTCTTGACTAACTTTGCCGAAAGCAAGGTGATACAGCACAGCAAGATCATTTTAAAGCATAGAGCTGTGTCATGCAGCTGATTAATTGTGGAAGACCAGCAAAACAAAGTACATATATAGCGCACAACCAAACCTAGGGCAACACTTTGTAAATTTACCTTTATTAAATGTTCATAAGTGCTGCTTTACACAATGTTAAAGAACCATAATGTGTATTGTCTGTAAGCTCAGGCAATCAGCTGACCTTCCTTTGCTTGAAGCTGTAACTTATTTCTAGTGTATTGTATCTCAGATCAGATGAGTTATCAGGAAAACCTGGGTCTCTTACCTTGAGGACAAAACAGTAGTCTGTAGGTGCCTTGTATTTGACTTTGTACTCAGTGCCATAGTAGATGTTCACGTTGTCAAACTGTATGAAGCATGCCAAATCGCGTGATGTCTGCCGGAGAACAGGAAATGAGTTAAACCCTTCATGACTTTGAGCTCAGATGTGCTGGAGGTGCTTTTAACAGACTCTGTACAGTGAAAACATTTATGGTGTCACTTGGGTGCTTTTAGAAAAAAGTGTGATATTTCTAGCTATAAAAATACACAATTTTCAATGCTGTATGAATGTCTTCTACAGATATTAGTCATTGTGACTGAAATGCTGAAAGTATATTATGTATAGAAATGTGTCTGAAGTATGTAATGTTAAATGCATGGTTTTATAACAGACCCCCGTTCTTAATCTACTATTAACACTGCTATTTATACTATTATTAGTAGTAGTGGGAATAAAAGCAGAAAAGGTCATAAATGTTGCAATAGTGACAGTAATAGCATATTGTCCTTTCTTCTGTATGGTTCTATTGGAAGGTAAAATAATGAATTAAGCTTTATGCAGAGTCAGGTTTAGTATTCTCTTTTAAGGTGCATTTGAGACTGTTAAAAGTGCTTAAAAATTATTTGACACTGAAACTGGAAGGAAACATTTTTTGTCTCCCTACAAAAATGTGCCTCTTAGCAATTGCAGAAAAGGTCTTGTTGACAATCATCTAATATTTGCACAAGTGTTTCATTTGAAGAGGGACTCTCAGATATCATGGTAGGGCTGTTGGGGGAATTCTTCATTTACACAGGCTTGAATGGCTTAGCTTGATTTTTTTAGGTGCCTTCGACGTCTGTCTTTACTCTCTGACCTTGGTCTTTCCTTTGGGCACATAATAAATTCCAGAAGCCCGAAGAAGAAAGTAGCGCCGTTTCCAGGACTTCTTTCCATCTTCTTTCAGATAAAGAGCCCCTTCAAGGTCTGGTACAATGATGGACGTTCCACAGAAACTTTCCTGTGTTCAGGAGCATAGGGGCAAGATGTGGAAAGTGAAAAGTTTAAGCAGTCACATTGAATCATCTTAGCCTTTCTCATTTCAATCCTCTGTGGGCACATCGCTAAAGTTCAGGTCAGGGATTTTCAGTTACAAATGTCTTTCTGAAAAACAGCATTCTGTAACATGAATATTACTCTAATGGTTTCCTGTCTTAAGGCAAATGGGAATAATGTCTGCGATGTAGGTTTAACAAATGCAACATCTGTGGTCAGCAATGAGCCACACATATATATGTATACTGTAGCACACACCTCCAAAAGAGACTCCTTGTCCTTGTCCTTCATTTCCCTTTGTTCATTTTTCTTTCCTTTGTTCCCAAGATAAAAGTCCTGAGAAGGAAGTTAGCAAGAAAGGAAGAAAAATAAATAAGCATATGTAATGTGAACCAAGAGTAAGTGGGGTTATGATTTGGGGATTATTTAATTTATTATTAATATTTTACATAATATTTAATTTGTAAAAACTACCTATTTTACATTTCTTTTAAGACATAATTGAGAGCACAACATAGTTGAGAAAAAGAAACCAACTTTTTGCATGTAGATCTAGGATGTGTTGTCACTGAATGACTTCAATTTCCTGTTGTTATTTAGGTGTTTCTGTTTCTCTGATTTAATTTACTACTGTAAGGTGGAAGTAGAGACTATGTGAAATTATTAAAATTACAGACAGAGTGTTTTAAATCCATCCATCCATTTTCTAAACAGCTTTATCCAATACAGGGTCGTGGGGGAGCCAGAGCATATACTTGCAAGCAACAGACACAAGGCAGACACACCCTGGACAGAACAGAGCCCATTATAGTGCAAACAGACACAGATACACACTCTCACACCAGGGCCAGTTCTCACAGAAGTCAGTTATTCCACGCGTATGTCTTTGCACTGTGGGAGGAAACAGGGGCACCCAGAGGAAACCCACACGAACACAGGGAGAACATATCATTCATTACAATCATTACACAGATGGCACCCCACCTCAGGAACTGAGCCCAGGGCCCCAGCTCTGCAAGGCAGCAACGCTAACCACTGAACCACTGTGCTGCCCGTATTTTATACAGCATTTACTGCATTTGAAAAAGAACACAATTGGACTACTGTAACATTTTCAGTTGTGGCACAATTAAAGGATTTCAGCCTCCAAAACTCGTAATAGCTTGAAAGTTCTTGAACAGGCCGAGATAGGACAGGTACATTGCAGAGCGCACTTTCGTTGAAATGGGTACTATTTGGATGATTTGGATGGATTTTTAAACACGTGGGCTGGGCAGAACAATTTCATATAGTATGTTCAATGAAAGGCACAGCAGTGAATAAATGGGTGATTGGGGCGCTGTCTCAAGGGTCAAACTGCAGGTGGCACTGGTGCTTTACCATTGATCATGGTCTCTTCCCCAGATCACTCCAGCACATACCATTGTGCAATACAGAACCAACATCCACATGTGTAACAAGGAGGACATTGTAAGCAACTTTGGAGCACGACATTCAATTCCAGTGGCTGAGAACCTTTCTAAGTTCTGAAGCTCTACAATGCTACAGCCACTCCCTGTGCATGTATTCCTTTATATGTTTAGAAATGGATGATGTGGATGTGGCTGTGTCCTTCGCCAAGGAAGACCCAGAAGCTCTGGATTTAAAAGCTCTGTAAGCTCTGTGTGTGAAAAGGCATCTTTCAGTGGAGGCGTAGTGTTGAAGTTCTATTGTATGTGGCTTCCAGCAAAGCCAAGGTGAAATACGAGGGAGAGGTTAGCAGTAAAAGGAAATGAAGTATGGAAAAAATGGGTTTTGTTTTTACAAACATAACCTTTGAAATTGCTATGTTTGCCGTGCCGTGGTTGATGTGTTGTTGTCTTATAAAGGCAATAATGGTATGCAGGATAATGACACTAAATCCAGCGGTATGCAATGGATGGGGAAAAAAAACAACAAGTTCTACAATAACCAGATGTCACTGGGATTAAACATATGGTGATAAATATATGAAAACAGAAGAGGAGCCAAGGAACTTCGTGCACTCCAAATTACAAGACCTGCGTGATGTCATGAAAGGGCAATCATTCTTTGAAGCTCTTAAAATGTCTTTAAAGATGTAAATTGTCTTAAGAGTCACCTAGCTCTGATGGCTATGCTTTCTTCCTCGCTTTCGTAATTAAAAGGCAGTTTCATCTTTATTTTTTAATCAATCCTATTAATGTTCTATGAAGTACCTTGTAAATTTCTGTGGTCCTGGCAACATCTGTGCCCTTCAGGAAAACAACAGTCTTCTGTGTTGGACTAGGCATACTTTAGCTTAAATGAGACCTTTTAGCTTACCATATCTTAATGATATCTTTGCTGCAAATAGATACTGTAGATCCGGATAATTGATTTTATTCAATGTAGTTATAGTACTCCGGTTTTTACTTAAAATAGTGCAAAGCTGCCATCCGTGAGATTGTGGCTGAGTGTCTCTAAATCAGAAAGTGCCTTTAAACTCCTCAATGCCCTCATTGGACGTCTGCCATTTCTCTTGATATGAAATGTGGATTTCTTAACTAAATTTTACCTTTCAAACAAGAGCTGGCACTGTTGTAACATAAACGTCTGTCAGGCACTTAAAGTTAAAGCAACATGTGCCTGACTGCTATTGTTGGTGGAGCCTCAACACAGGTGTCGTGGTGAAGTCTACAGGACTCTGCATTATACTTTGGCACTGGTGTGCTATATACCCAGTAGAATGTCTCTTATAAATGTACTTTTATCAGTTTGAATATCAGAATAGTCTGTAAACGAGGTCTATCTTGCTCACTTGGAGGTTTCTTAATGTCTCCCAGAGTTTGGGCCTCAATCACCCGGGAAGCCTGTTCCATGCACCCAGCACTCTGTGGTAAGAGAAGTGTTTTTCTATACTCTGTCCTAAGTTCCCCGTGGGTTTCCAATTGTGACTACTGAGAGTGAAACATTCCCCTGGGTCGAACTTATCTGTACTCCTTAGGATTGTACATCCCTGGATCAAATCTCCTCCTAGTCTCCTGTGTTCTAGACAGAATATATTTAGCTCCAGAGTTTGTTTTCCTTTCTTTCTCTAGTTCTAATACACTGTTTGCATTACTTACAGAGTCCTGAAGTTACTCTTATAAATGCCACAATTTTTAGACAGAATCTTAAGGCATGGGCAAATGAAGTGTGATGAGTTAAATAAAGATCTCAAAACATTAACAGGTCCTTGAACTCAAAGTGAACACATTCTTTGAGGTATGTGACTGTTGAAACAAATGACTGCCTACATAAATGTCAAATCTGACATGAAAAGTTGTGTTTTTTTTACCTGAGGGTTTTTGAAAACTGCATATTTATCTTTACGTTCAAGAAAAAGAATTTTGTTTTCGCTGTCTCGTGTCCACTGAGACAAAAGTTCCACTACATTTTCGTGGTCTTCAAAACTTCTCTCTGTTGGAAAGAAAAGAAAAACAGCAATGTCACATTACTGACTACAAGTGGGGCCTTGTGTGATTGTAGACTGCCTTTAACGAGGCAAATGCCTGAGGAAATTTGAAATGATCTGATATCCTATATTCCCAAGGCTCAATAGTTCATGCACACACTTTTATTACACGAGAACATAAAAAGTTTGCAGGCACAAGGAGACAATCAGACCCTGTCTAGCTTATTTGATTTTTATTAGCTAAGGATTGAAGGGATCATCCAGACATTCAATGCTGATTCTACTGAAGTCCTTAGGATTGACTTCTACAATGTCTTTGAGGATCTTGAATACTTGAATCGGGGTAATTTTCTCTTTTACATACTAAGAAGACTCAGTTCTTTTAGAACATCAATGTAGGGCATTCCTATGGGCCTGTGAATGTACAGTATGTGCTTGCCTGTTTCTCTGCTCTGATTCCAGAACAATATCTTATTTATAACACAGTGACCAAAATTGCACACACTATTCTAAAAGAGGTCCAATTAGTACATTTTACAATTTCAACATAAATCGTACTGTATGTCATTGAAATTCCACACAAATTCTGTCTAATGGCCTTTAGAGGTTCTACAGTGTTTTCTAAAAATCCCATTTTGATATAGTTTGCAAACAGAGATTCTTTACAGAGTACTGTATGCCAGAATCTAGCTAAGTGATTTTAATTAGGAAATACAGTGGTGCTAAAACAAATATATAAGGCATTTAGTTAATTATATAACCCAGTTTTGAGCATTCTTCCCTTACCTATACCGTCTGTTTTATGTCCATTAACTAGTTAAGTTAATTAAGGAAAAATATCTGTTTCTAAATCCATGTTGTCATACTGATGACCTGCTAGTTTATTTCGGAGTATTTTCATCATAATTTTATATGTAACATAAATAAGATTTATTGGTCCGCAACTACTTGGTATGGTTTTTGTCACCATTTTTGTGGATTGGCGCCACATTTGCCAGTCAGTGGGTAATACCATTATCTTTAGTCAGTGTTGACTGCCTGTTGACAGCATTGAAGAGGTTGGAGCTGCGTCAGCATGCGCAGGCTGCCAAAGAACAGGTCAAGCTCTATTCCAGGTGGGTACCCTGGGATACCTAACGCAGCTCCCCACCTGAAGGTCTATTGCATGCTGAAAGGAAAAAGAAAAGACAGCCTTCTTTTGGTTTTAATCTTGGTTTTGGAAACTACAAATGAACTAAACCAAATAATTTCCCGAACAAAATGATCCTGAAACTAGGATCAATTCTTCCCCCTTCTCTCAGGGACAGACTTGTCTTCTTCTAAACCTGTCTATTCATTTGCAGGTTTTGACTTCACACCTCTCCTCCAGTTCTTCCTGGGTGTCGATACTCCTTTTCCCCTGCTCCCTGCCTCCTCTTCACTACCCTGTCTTTTGTTCTCCTGTAATTCATTAACTGCCGGTTTCCCTCTCTCCTTCACACCTGAAGAACAGCCAAAACTTTTCTTTTCCTTTCAGCGTGGAATAAACCTTTACCTGTTCCTACTGATAACATTGTAGAAAAAAAAATGTATATGCCATTTTTTCAAGTATAACATGCCATAAAAAGTGATAGATATAACTTATACATTTTAACCAAAAAAATACAATTGTATTGTAGTACTGCAGGAATGGATAGTTTTGAATAAGTGGATCTTACAAAGAATGCAAAATTAGACAGATGCCTCACTAAGGTTTTCATGGCAGAGAACTGCAGATAGGTTTAGTAACATCTTGATGCATAGGATGATAATGTTCAGAAAGCTTTTGGTATTGTATGGGGAACAGCACTACAGCAAAAAATGTGGCATTTGAGCTATGAAATAAAAAATAAAGGCATTTTGAGTCATGGAAAAATCCATAAAAACACAACCGGTGAATGGTTAAGATTATGGTTGGAGCTGTTCAAGGTTTTTTTTCCCTACGGTCTTCTCGAGGCAGTTAATGACTTTAAAGACTGTGAAATTATAAGAATTCTTTCTAGATTTAGGCTATCCATCCTAAGGTTCACAATACACTATAGCTTGATACATTTCTGCTGTGTGAAGCAGATCTTCAAAATCCTAAAATGTTGGATTGATCAGACCAGTAGAAGCCTTTGTCACAAATCAGAAATATTGAAAATGAAGATCATTAGACTGGCTCTGCTAATCTTTCCTTAACAAGATCACTTCTCTATCTAGGAGGGTTTATGTGTTGCAAAATGCAGTTAAGATCACAAACAGGGTTCACCTCAGTTGTGGCATGTGGGATGCCTGTTCAATTAGAAAAGAAATGAAAGATTTCAATGAAGAAAACCTTGGCCTTGTCTGTCTCATTATACCGTTCAGTAATTCAGTCAAACTCTAGTTAAAGCAAAGACATGAAGTAATTGCAGAGATAGCACATCAAAGGTTGGCATGACTCATCTGGCCCCGGAAATGGCAGCCTGACTATGGGGCTGAGGCTGACAAAAGAGATCAAAGGAATCCCATCCGCACCAATGCAGAGCTTGTGATGCGCTAGTGTTTGGTTGATCGGGCCAGTTCGGATATATGCAAGGCCGGATCTGGAGGAACATCAATCCTGAGCCTGGATTCCGCAGTGGGATTGTGGAAGACGCTGTGCCATCTTGGAAAGAGTAACCCAAAGTTATCGGGGCTGCCGTGCTGCAGCTGGCTTTGGTAAACCGCCAAAGAGAAGTGGTGTAAGAAGCCCTAGTGAGTGAGTGACCCACTTGCTGACGCATGTCAGTGAATAGACAGAATGGCAGTCTGATGAAAGTGAAGGGAGAAATAAGAAGAAGGAGAATCATAGGGCTAATGGCGGACTGAGATTAAAAAAATGCTCCCGTTTGGTCTAGGTTGCTAGGATTTAATGAATGAGGACAGATTTCAGGAGGAACCCCTCAATATAGCAGCTGAAACGTTGACCAGGTGGAAGTCCAGCAATCATTTGAGATGACGTACAACTCAAAGGTTTTTTATTTTTCTTTAAAGTCAAATTCGTTGCTGCTTTTAACCTATTTTTCACTTCTACCCTCTTGAGCTCGTTTTAAAAAAAATGGTGTTGTCGAACCCCTTTATTTACAAGGAGCAAAAGCATTGGAGCAATAGGTGTTTGCTGTCGGATAATTAGAGGCTAATAAAAGAGCTGTGAACAATCTATCCTATAGTTAGACTCCAGTGTTTGGAGTCTGTAATTGAAAATCAAAATGAAAAAAAAACATATGACAGAAATTGAGCATACCAAACCCATTGGAATATCCTGTAAAAGGAAAGAAATGATCGGTATAATGACCAATCAGCCAAGGAAAACATCTGCAGCAGATGACAGAAGATCAAAGCTGTCAAGAAAAACCCAAAAGCAAATGTCAGTGAAATCTCCAGATTGCAGGGGTAGAGATCTGAAAATCTGCAGTCTGTAGAAGACTGAGACAGCAGAAAAACAAAAGCTAGACCACACGTTGTAGACCTCTCATCCACACCAAGATCGGAAAAGCCAGTCTAGAACGTGCTTGAAAACACGCAGTACAAAAATGACCCAGGTGAGTTTTTGAAGCACCTTTAATAAAGTCAAGTGTGAAGGTTCAAGCGTAAAGAAGGACAGGAACTTCAGAGGCTGACAGGAACATCAACACCCTTCTGTGGAGGTCATGACCTGGACATGCATGGTCACATCTGGAACTGACTGATCTGTCTTTATTGATGATGCCGCTAATGAAGGTTTCAACTGACTAAACTCCAAAGTTAACAGCAACTTATGTAAACACTCAACAATGTAGAAAAAAAGCTTCTATACTTCACCATCTAGCAGGACGATGACCCATTCCTACAGCCAGAGCAACCCAGAAGTTCATTAGGTGCAGCATGTGCCAAGTCAATCTCCACATTTAAATCCAACTGGGCGTGCAGGTGAAATGCCCAAGAAAAAGGTGAAGCCAGAAACCCCGAAGACACAGGCAATAACTCAAAGTGGCTGTAGAAAAGGCCTGGCAAAGCATCTCGGATGATTACAAAATGAGTTTGGTGAGCTCAATAGGTCAAAGACTTCATGCAGTTATTACCTCAGAGGGATGTGCAAACAGTGTGGACTTTTACCCTTAAAGCGAACGTACCGTACAGCGTGCTAATACTTACGATCACTTGAAATCTCCCAGTTGACTGAAAATCTTTTTCTGTTGAATTATGATTAAATGTTTGGATGGAATTACTCAGAGATAAAGCGATAGGATAGGTTCTTCACAGCTCTTTTATTAGTGTCTTACTATCTGACAACAAACCCCTATTGCTCCAATGCTTTTACCCACCTACAGTATCTTCCAAACTACTCTCATGATCAGAAATACAAATTGCTTGACTGTGATTTTTCTGTTCCAGTATGTGTGGACGGCACTGTAGATCAGTGAGGCCACCCCTGCCTCTGTCCTTCCGCTGGGTTTCCTTCAGATCTCTCAGTAACATTATTCTGGTAATTACTGTACATCAATGATTGATCAACCTGATCTATGTACAGTAATAGATTAATATGCACCAATAATATACACTAGTTAATGCATTGCGTATATGACTGTACTGTGCGCAAGTATAAAAAGTGTTCTGACACATGCATGCAGTCTATGCATGCATGCAGTTTATAAATAGTTTCTGGGTATAGATTGTGAATATGGATTGACTGACTAATTACTCGTGACTGACAAACTCAAGCAACATTGTTGCATCAATGCTAAATCACTTCGTATGTAAGGAAGTTGATTGGGCAAAGATGATGAGGAGATGTAGCCTGTTGATTGTCAAGCCTTTTGAAAGTCAAGAAAGAAAAATACAGCAGCAAGCCAATGTCCCCTCCTTCTCATGTGAACAACACCTTCATGTCATCGGTGTTGGAGGCTGGACCTAGCTCACCATCACTCATCGCCCACGTGTTAAAATCACACGTGTGATGGTTAGGGCAGGAGTGTCTAGCCACTACAGAGCCCCACTTGTAGTGTTTCGTGACAGCCTGACAGCTAATACATATACGGGACCGTAACAGGAATATGTTTATCTCCATATTTTCTGTATGTATGAAACTGTATACTGTACAGTCTGTCATGTAAGGAAAAACAACACTTATCTAGAGGCCATCTCTTTACAGCACTTACCTATTTGTAAGTCAGGGTTACATTCATACAAACACCAGTCGGTGTTGCAGTCACAATGTGTCTTCTCAAAGAGGTTGTCTAAGATATCACGGACAGTCTGTGTTTCATCCACCATCAGCGTTTTGGAGCTGCCATCAGTCATGATCACTTTTATGACAAGCTGTTGAAAATGAAATGGAAGTTTTTGTTCAAGTAATGAGCAAGAACTGTTTAGCAAGAACTAAACATCAATAATTTTAAAGAATTGTTTATTGAGTTCTACAGCTCCATTTGTAAGTGTAACTACTACCAGCTGTAGAATGCAATAAATATTTATTTTACAATTCTAAAGACATCTTTAGTGTGTGAGTGTTACTTCTACTGATTTACAGTACATCTTAGATTTAAAACAGAATGAGATTTCGCCATCACATTTGACTGTATTGAGATAAACACAACAACAGAACACTTCCATTGGAACTGGACTAATCACATTAAACAGATCACAATTAGACGAGATGAAAATAATGAAACGTTGACACAAGATTTGGAAGACAGGAACATGCTGTTTGTGTTAGAACCCAATAGACTTTTGAAGAACAGAATTAAGGAAAAGAGAAGTGGTTTCACTCGGTTTCACTTGTATTTAGATGGATTTTAATGTATCGTGTTTAAAAGTTGGAAATTACACTGATATATACAGTATATTATACAATATACATAATAAGAAAACATATAATGTTTTCTTATTATCAGGTTCAGCTTCCCAAAGATGGTATTATCTGCTGAAAGCATTCTGGCTGTGCAATTAAAATTATTCAGATTGAGAGTTGTGTTTTAATACTACTATTTTGAAATATTTCCAAGTTTAGGGATTTAGACTGATTTAAGAAGTTTAACATTTTATTTTAAATTAGATATCATATATCTAAATATATTTATACTATTTCAAAAATCAATACGATAGAGACAAATCATTTTTTAATGAGTAGCTAGTATAGATATGCTGTACTGTTATTATACTATGATATTAAGTATACTTTTAACACACTATTCGTTTCAGTGTTTTTTTCTGTAGTCTTTTATTGTCTTATGATTGTTTTTCATCAGGATTTTTTTTCCCCCAAGATAATAAATGAGTAGTAGTTACTAATAAAAGTACTAAAAAAGATTTGCAAAGCAGTAATATCAACTCCAAGTTAGAAGCATTATCACTCCAAGTTATAAGTTATAATGTGTTTGTGTGAAAAGATGATCACACAAAACATTTGTGTAAAGAAACTTATTCAAAGAAATGAAGGCATGGGGTTGGAGTTGGGGTGTTTTGGCAAGAGTGTTTTGACATGTCTATTTTTAAGGCGAGGGCTTGAGATTTGATTTTTGAAAACTGTGCATATGAGGGCAACCACACTTTTAATATGTCTATCTCTAAATCAATTTCAAGATGTCTGAAACTGAAACAGGAAGCCAATGTTATAAGAGCCTTCTTGAAATACTGACCAGGTGTTTCTCAATGAAAAACAAACATGGTTTAATTTGTTTCCCCTTTCCAAAGGTTTTCATCATCTTGTACCCCTCGGACTGGAACTATTTCTTTCTCTGAATGCTGTGTCTCTTAAAAAACGTCAAATGAATAAAGTAAAATATCTAGTTTGTTTTGATTGACAGCCCATTTTCCTAATATACAGCATGTTATTCCATGCAATTACAAAGTAAAGCTTTGAAGAAACAAATCATCAAATAGAGGTGAACCTCAAACAGTTACCAGAAGAATCTCTGTCAATATGATGGCAACATATCTATTAGCACATTTACACAGATTGAGTAAGGTCACGATTGAAAATCACGCTAAATTTACACAGTTTAATTGTACACAGTCTCCAACATACAGAGTAGCTGTACGTTTAATTGTTAATTGCTTTACCAGTGTTCCTGTCCTGTAGTATTTTCAGGTGGGAACATTAATCAGCACCCATAAACCTCTAGTTCTTGGCTTCTATTAAAAAGATGAAATTTGAAGTGTGACCATGAGAGTCTGCTGTTCATCAAAGTGACTTTCAGGATGTGAAACTATCAACACATCACTTGGGAAGGAAGTGGAAGATAACTCATCTAGGTATGCCTGATGCCAGTAACTTTCTCTGTTTATACAGTATATTTACTCTTTTGTAATGATGATAGCAGTTTATTCAATTCAAAAAGTGACTCTGAGTGAGCAGGCTTGATATCCAATTTACAAAGACTAGTACTCAGGTCTCTAGACTAAAGCTACATTTGATGAATTCAACCAGTTTAGTGGAGAAAATCAGTAAAAATCCACTTAATGTGCCTATAATTTTCTGTGACTTCTTTTGTTCTTTATAATGATACCCTAACACAAATTATTTGAAATCACTACTCATTATGTAAGTGCTAGACAACACTGCGTATGTAGTAGAGGTATGATGGTACTGGCTAAAAATTGTTATAAAAACAGTTGTGCAGTTTGTGCAATAAAATTGCACCATGAGACACTACAATAAAGGTGCAACTGAATGTTTCTGCAGATCCTTAATCTCTGTTTGTATTGTGGTCCATGAAAGTATTATTTAGCCTTCACAGAAGATTCACTAAAAGTGTAAAAAGATTCATTAGACTTGTCTTACAGTAGGTTTATATCACTGTCCCAAAAAGTGAAACTACAGCTGTAAATATGTCATTAAGTGTTATTTATATAGTGGAGGTGAATAGGACCCAACTCTATACAAATTAAGTTGTATTTACCTATGTTAGGATGACAGATAATAATAAGAAGAACAAGAAAAAAGTATCAATATTTTACCTTTTTAACTTTGGCTTCTTTCAGTTTTTCCAAAGCAAGTTTTATTTTGTCAGCTTTGGCCTGGACCTCAATTTCTTCCTGGAATAAAACAAAATTACATTTTCTTGTAATGGGAATTTTTCTCATTTTACTTCTGTATATTTATTTGTTTCATTTCAAGAACCCCAAACTAGAAACTGTCACAAATATATACAGACTGTTACTTTGCTATAGGGCAGAATGAAAATACTTTTGCCTTAATTAAACCAAGAGGCAGATCACTTAGCGTTTTTATTATATTTGCTGTGTATTTGCAAATACCGCTATTTTTACCAATCAGACAGTAGGGTGTATTTCTTTAAATAAGATCATCAAAAAGAATAAAAAGTACCCTTAACTAACAGCACATCTCCAGTTTTCCGCACTGGAAATTGTCACGTTTGATCCATTCCAGACTAAATTTGAGATTCCCCAATGAAACACATGTTCCATTATGGCTGGCCAGACAGTGCTGTATTTGATTCTATGACTATGAGTACAAAACTGTCTGCTTTATAGATAGACATTTTCCCTGAACATGACACTATAGATTCCTAATGTTTGTGCTTTGAAAATAATCTGGTCTGTCTTTACTATTGGCAGGCTCTATTGCTACTTGAGAGGCCCATACAAGGGACAGTTGAATTTGCAGTTTCAAAACGTTACAGTAGTTAGATTTAGAATATTCTTGACATATGGGATATTTGTCACAGGATATTTGTCACTTTATTTAAGGGGGATTAAAACATGGAGAGATCTGTATATGCCTCCCCTTGGCGACCTACAGCATGTACGTTGGAGATAAGCAGATGAGGAAACACAAAACTAATACACATACAACGACATGCTGTCGACAACAGTCAGTGCTTTTCAGTTTTAAATGTCTTTTAGGCAAAGGCTTTCTGAGTTGTGTGAGTTGTGTCTCTTTCCCAGCAATTCTGAAGTGCTGATCAACGGGATTTCACAATAAGGATACAATCATATTTTATTAAGAAACATGTAACACATGTATGTTTATCTTTTCATCTCAAATCCTGATAGCAATTTGACTTCACTGTCCCAATGCTTATGTATGGCACTACATGTATAGTACTTACATTTTCGGGACAGCCTTTATTTTTGGCACTGTGGTTTTTGTAAACAAATACACAGTTCTAGCCAGATTATTCTTTGAAACGGGGGGAGCGGTGGTTCTGTGGTTAAGGATCTGCGCCTGTGGCTGGAAGGTTGCCGGTTCAAATCCCACGGCCAGCAGAGGAATCCTACTCTGTTGGGCTCCTGAAGATTAACCCCAACTGCTCCAGGGGCGCCATACAATGGCAGACCCTGTGCTTTGACCCCAGGCTCACTCCCTGTCTGTGTGTCTCATGGAGAGCAAGCTGGGGTAAGCGAAAAGATAATTCCTAATGCAAGAAATTGTAAAGGTTAAATAAAGTGATGTTAGTTATCGAGCCGGTATATCTTTCTGACAGGTTGCTAACAAGGCGCTCTGCTGTTGTCACCTTTGTCAGCTGTTTTGGAGGCTCCGGGGGTGGGAGCGGCTGTGAGGAGGGTCCCGGAGGTCTCGCGGCTGGGAGGCTGTGAGGAGGTGGCGGGAATGAAGAGGGAGCAGAGGCTGCAGAGCGATGCTGCTGCTCCGGTGGCGGCGGCGGGGGCAGACTGCCGTGGCTGGCCTGTCTCTGCCCTGTCAGGTTCTCCTCTGTTTCATTGATGTCTGCCACCAGATCGGCCATCAGCGCGTCTAGGTCATTGTCTTCAAGAGCGTTCAAGGACTCTGCAGGTACAGACGGCAACACCTGTTGCTCAGCACTCTTTTTTTACTCATATTGCAGACTGTGAGACCTTCAAATCTTTGTTTCAGATCAGAGATGACATACAGCTAATATTGGAATGCTCTGGCTACATGCTATATTTAAAACGCAATGTCAGTGCCTATATTCCTTTGATATCATCTTAATCTGAAATGGATTGAATTATGGAAAGACACTTTCATGATTTTTAAATTATTGTAAATTCTTGATGCTTGTAAATTCTAGCTTTTCCAGTATTCCACTGCAATAATGTTTACAACTGGCAACTAGAAAGGACTTCTGATGGTGTGGGTGTTTTGAAGCTAAGAGTATTTGAACTGGGTATGCCTGACCATAGTGCTCTCTCTCTGAACCCGTGAGGCAATGTCATGAACCTGCATATCCAGGCTCTGACACAGCTATAACATGGTATAATGAATAGCAGCTGTGGCTGAAAACCAAAGAGATAATGAAGAGATCTCAAAATCAGAGTCTCTTTATTCATATAACCACTGAAACCACTGCTGCCCCCTGTCAGAACAGGCAAATGATGTCCAGCTATTTGTTCATTATGGTGGTACAGTCTCATTTGCCCAGAACCAGGTTTGTGCTAATACAAATGTCACAGACTCTGTTTGGCACTGTAATGTTGAATCAGAGTGTACTCACCGTTCAGATCCTTAAAACCAATCGAGAAGTTGACCTCTTTATGTGAACTGGATGGAGACTGGGGTGGAACAGTTTCTACCCCTAAACTCTATGGAGAAAAAGAAAGCAGGCAAATATAAATGGAAATGAAAAACCTTCAAGACCTTATTCCTTGTTTTGCTTTAACAGAACCCTTAAAGAATTAAATAATACAATTTAGTGTCTTAAACAGATTTTTTTTTAAATTCAGGATTTATCTGAACATGCTCTATATAGAATTATATTTCTTCCATATCCATGTGATTATGACCAAAATGTTGTAATGATAAAAAGAATTCCAGCATTAAAATTGCAACGTTTTCTGGCAAAATATTCACAGGGATATTTTAGAATAAATCTTATTCCAAAGATATTTATGCCTAGTTACTTCAAAGAATTTAAATAACTAAGAATAATACCACATTATGCTGCTGTATAACAAAGCTGATCTTTGGCTAACACAAACCAAAAGTGTAATCACTCAAGAGTCACTGTATGTTTGAAAAGTAATGTTAGACACCATCCAATATGTATTTTTTTGGTCCTTGATCTGTGATTTTGGCTTAACGTGAGTCAGGATTGGCAGGGTGAAGGCAGATGTTCCAGAAATACGGTGGAGTGTTTGTAGGAGACCACAGATTGATAAATGTATTGCTCTATGAGACATCTGGGTTCTTTCTACAACATCTAAACTTGCCTTTTTTCAGCTCATGACTGTTTTATTGTAGTACTTTATAATACACACAACAATTTAAATAATTTAAATTTTAAAAAATCTTTTAGAATAATAGCTTGCATATTGATCTACTGTATCAGCTAAATAAACAGCTATATCAGCACTGTGTTTTGGGTTTTTATCGTGCTTGAAACCCAACCATTTGCACAGTACTGTATATAATGTGGCAGTTACGTATTGCAGAGATGATATCTGGGATACAGAGTGGTTTAAACAGTGCCTGCCAGTAGCTGAGGTGGTTTCTTCAAGCTGAGGACCTCAGTGCACTGCTCAGTGTGCATTATCTTTCAGGCTCCAGCCAGCATGAGAACCATGCGTCATGATGACACACGAACCCCCTGCCAGGAGGCTATAAAAAGAGGTGCCCGTGCTCAGCTCTGTAACTAGAGGTTACCTGCCGTTTCTGTAACTTGCCTGTTCATGTTTTTTTTTGTTTGATAAAATCAGGAACTTTGAATTTCAACTTTAGGCATCCGGGGTATTCATTTGATATCCCCCAAACTTATGCTAAACACCTGCTTAGCATTACTATACATACGGTATTCGGCAGATAGCAAGCTTAATCCGTCTATCTTTATCTTTTGACTTACTGCTGTTAAGAGGTCCATCTCCCCCAGCAGGTCGCTGAACATTGCATCAATGTCATCCATCTGTAAGACGATGAAACAACATTATTCATTTTTTTAAAATTCGGAAATCATTCTGTTCTTTGTCAAAGAAAATATCATTTTGCACCCAAGACTGCTGGAAACATTTTACACACCATTCTTCAGTATCATCGGAATGCTACACATGGGTCAGAAAATGAAACATTTGAGTTGAACTATTTCTTTGCAGAACGTGAAAAAGCAAACAGTGTAGGGGATAAAGTAATATGGCCGATTTCCACACAAAGCTTAATTAGGACACCCTCCCGACCAACACCATGTATCTGTGTGGTATTGCTTTCTGTGGAATGAAACTGCAAGAGTTGGCCTGCAAGCATAGGGACAGGGGTTGCAAGGGTATGCAAAGCAAGGGATGCTGGGAAGAAAGGATTAAAAGCCCAGGGACAGCTCCTAGCAATGCTTTCATTTCTTAAACTTCATTTATGCTTTGAAAAGATTTGAGTATATTTTTCAGAGGGGAGAATCCGCCAATCCCAGGCTTTCCTGACATACTATTTCCTGACATAGTAAAGAAACAATGAGACATAGGTCCAGCGGATCTTGAAAACAAAGAAATCTGGTCCCTATTTCCATGTGTGAAACACTGTATATTGCTGAAGATTACAGATGTAACGTTGTGAGAATTTTCAATTCTAGCCAAAGATTTGAAACCTGTTTGAGGGGAGGCAGTCTATGAATTGTATAGTGCCAAATACTGTATGTTTTCAGCAACGGGACTGTGTTTGGACTGCCTGACAACCAAAAACATGAGAATGCTGTTGTTCTGAGAGGAGGTTTGGCCTGACTGAAGGGGACAGAAAATGAAGGTGCTATTATTTTAGAAACACAGTTTCAAAGGCCAACACCCTCTGACACCATGCTGTAAAAGAAATAATCCCCGGTTTAGGGCAGATTATTTTCGGGTAAAAGTTCAGGAGTGAAATTCATAGTAACTCTGGACTCTGAAGTGTAATATTTAAAGTTAGATTTAAATGTGTCATTGATGCACTTATCCTTGGTCATCTTGAGCAGAATGAGTACCCGGACACTTCCTGTGAGGACAAGCTCATTCATTAACGGTATTTAGTAAAAGGTATTAAAATCAGGTACTAGTCTTTGAGAAATTCGACAGACCTTTTTTTTTCCGATGGGGTTCTCACTGGTTCAATGGTGAGTGGACACAGATACTTCAAGCATGCACTTGCAGTCATGTAGAGCCTGAAACAGTTCACGTTTCCCAGTGTACATGTCTCACTGCTATAAACTAGAATAAAGCATAGATCCAGGTGGCTTGGGTTTTTTTATAATTGCCCTGCTCTGCTCACCATGCTCACTGAAACTACACAAGCAGAACTACTTGCACGTGGTGTGTAGGGTCTTCACTCTAATGAAGAAGTAGCATTATTGGTACCATGGTTCCTAGGTTTTGTTTTGGTGATTACAAACTACACAGCTGAAATAACAGAACAGCATACCACTGAGCCACTGTAATAGGCAAAAACATCTGTACCTACCTGATGTGACTGGCCACCAAGACATTTTTCAACATTTTTTTATGTGAGCACAAGGCCAAGTAAAACAGATCATAGGCTGATCAACCTGTATCCTATTTTTCCCTCCAAAAGGAAAAAAAAATCTGTCTAGGGTTAACGTTGAAATATTCCAAATGTTTTCCCTTGAACATGAGCACTGGGTTTAGGAGAGCTAAGGTTAAGATAGTTTGAGTCTAAACATTTTTCTGTTTTTGTATCACATATGGGCCTTTTTATGGCTTGAGGTAATTTCCCCTTGATCTTCAATGTTTTCATGGAATACATCAATTCAATTGGACACCGCACTCCCAGAGCTGTCTCTCGGATTACACTTAATGTTGAGCATTAAGTGTCTGACAGGCTTCTTAGGATTTGTTAGGTTGCAATTTTAACTTCCTGAGACATAAACCACATAATATCCTGAATATTCTAAACTCTTAGATCAGTGCTCACAGGAAAACCTGAAATCGAGTCATTGAAATCTAATACCATTATTTTCTATATCAAAATGGTTTGGCATAGCTTCTAAGCTTGAAACTTAAAGTGTTTAATACCAATTTTATTTCAATCTCCTCCTCCCTGTTTCTTTCTTTTATCTTTTGGACAAGCACTTGATGGCATTGACGTGAGGTCATTGGTTCTAAATCTCTAATTCAGGTTAAGTTGTTAGAGTTGTTGATTTTTCTTTTACTTCTAAAATCTTGTATTGTATATAGTATGTAGATGGAAGATTTCTGACTAATTTGCTTAAAGAAAATAAAACCAGTTAAAAAAGTAGAAAACAAACTAGGAAGTTCATTCACAATCTCCCTTTTAATTATTAAGATTATTTTGTCTAAGATTGTTCTGGCTGAATTATTTATTATGAGACATTTTCAGTACCATCAAGTTCAGAACATTTTTGAAGTTTTCACTATAAAAGAAACAAAAATGTTGACAAGATCAAAGTTTTGAACTACCAAGGACTATCATCAGCACGGACACACAATTTTCAACCCTGTTCAAACAATTTTCAGCTCCATTTCACAGGTCAAAATCCACGAACTGGTGTGCATAGATGCACACTATTTTAAATTCAGAGTGCATTTAATTTGGAAAACACTGAGCCATACAAAGATCAGCTTGTGTTGTAGATAAATGAACAATATACAGTACACACATGCAACATAATAACCAGAGTTTATTTAAATTGTACTGTTCTTAAGGTGTTCCTTAATAATAGATGGTATAATTCAATGGCCAAAGAGATCACCATATCAATCTATACAGTATTTTGTTGTCCTTTCAGATATATTTAAATAGTGTTAGGTTCACATCAAATCAGGGGTTATTGTTACTGTACATATACTGTACATGAACAAGTACTAGGTTTATTCCATGATAAAGAGAAGAAAAAAAACACAGCATTTCGGCCGTGGAGCCTTCTTCAGGTGTGAGTACACCTCACAAACTCATACAAAACTCATTATTCTGTGATCTGTAATACTGTAGGAAGTTCACTGAAATATTTATGGTGATAAGAAGGTATTACTGTGTGCCAAAGAGAGAATATTCCAGTTCGAACATAATAACATTGCACAAATCTGAGAAAAAGAACAAGAGGAACAAGACGTTCCTGTGAATTCTCAGTATTATCCCAATAACATCACTGCTTACAATAATATGTTTTATAGGTACAGTGGCTTAACTTTTACACCAGCTTTTCAGGCTTTTAGAGTGATCATGACCCATAAAACTGTCTCAGGAAGATTTCTGCAGTCTATATATATTATTACTTGTTCACCTCAATTTCTTTTAAAATGACATCTCTTAAGATACATAACAGTATGAGGCACCTATTTGGTAATCCTTCAGCTTCTCTGATCCTTGTTTTCTGACTGATGCTTTGAAAATCAAGTAAACATTGCTCCCACTATCTGTGTAAGTATCAATACTCCTGCAAAGAATCAGTCTGTATCATGTGCTTCAGTTTAACCCTTTGGCTACTTTACCACTTCAAGGGGTTTAGGTTTACTGGGGGCTGGGGGGTCTTTCTGGAACAAACCGGACTTGTACCAGCAGGAGAGTTTGCACTTGAGCCAGAGGAACACTGACATATTGGTGATTTATACTGTATGTAGATTATCTGATTAGGAGCACCTTGTTGCCTGATTTCATCAAGACTCAACATGGGTGGGCCCGAGAGATCACTGTATAGATCTATCCAGTAAATGTTTTTATAAAAGTCCTTTCAGATATTTCTAAACAGTATTACAGTAGATTCACATCACATCAGCACTGGGATCGAGATCTTTAAGGAACATCTGGCTGCAGCAGTAAGAGGCACAATTCCCTCTAGACCAGGAGTTCCACACCAGTTCCCCAGTATAGTGGCAGAAGGGGTCAAAGTGCTATAGGAGGCATCCTTTAGATGTGGTGTTAAACCGGAGTCCTGATTATTTGGGTAATTCAAGATTTCCTGGCACAAAGTAGAGGGGTTAACCCTGGTGTTCTGGCTAAATTGTCACTTTTCTGATCTTGCACAGTCTCTCTCAGTCTCCCTACATTTACATTTAAATGCATTAGGTACAGTACCTGTGGAATGAGACTGCTAGCACATAATAGTACCCGTGGGTCACCCCAGCAGTATTGGATGCAGTGGGTTCTATGTTTCTCCTCTTAAAGATGCACGTGAAGCATTTTGGGTTGAAAACTGCTTTGCAAATTTTATTCATCACTAAAACTAGGGAACTGCGAGGCAGGGAGATCACAACAGGCCACTTCCTGTGGGATCATGAAAGTGCAGCTGAGCACAAAAAGAGCTAACACTTGTTCTTATACGCCTGTATCTCAATCACTAGAATCACAAGGGAAAAAAACACAAGAACTCTAGGCGTTAACAGCTAATTATGACTTTATAGAAATAGACAGAGCAGATGGATGGGGACAAATATGAAATTAAAAGGTTCACTTTTTACTGACAAACACTGGATAGAAGGAATAGGGGAGTGGGACTCTACAGGTATATCAAAAATAACATTAAAATGGAAAATAGAAAAAAGCTTAGCAGTAGATGTATACTATGAATCACTTAGGGCAGAAGGGGTTGCATACTGTATCAGGTATCAGGCATACATGTAAGGTATCAGGTTGGTGCAAGCAAAGGAGAAACTATATTAAAAAGAGTTTTCCATTTTACAAGGACCTTTAATGATCTATTCCTTTCCAACAATCAGGATATAAATTAATTTGATAGGAACATTGGGGAATTATGACCATAGCATGGTACCATTCATGATTGATGCTTAATGATTTTTCTTTAAATCTTTAAACCTTCTCTCTAAACTCAGGGTTTAAGATTACGAAGGGAAGTGTAAGTGCCTAGAAGTGGTGAACTGGGAAAGGCCATAAAGGGGTGGAGGTACTAGAACCATTACTGTATGTTAAAAGCACAGAATAACCAGAACATCTCACATAGGAAAATACAACCGA